ACACAGATCTACCCTCTCCTCCCAGGTGGTGAAATCAGGAGAATTCAAAGCCTTTGACTATGGCAGCAAAAATACCGCCGTGTACCACCAGGTAGGAGGCTGCAGGGGCAGTGCTGGCAGCTGGAGATGCCAGGGTGGTGCAGGGCTGGGTTGCCTTGCAGGGGTTGACCATGACAGCCATTCCTCAGAGCTCCCTGTGTCCCTCCAGGATACACCACCCTTCTACCAGGTGGAGGAGATGCCGGTGCCAACGGCGGTGTGGTCAGGAGGGGAGGACTGGGCAGCTGACTGGAGGGATGTCCGCCTGCTGCTGCCCCGCATTGCCCACCTCGTCTCCTACACCCACATCCCCGACTGGAGCCACTGGGACTTTGTCTGGGGCTTGGATGCCCCCGGGCGCCTCTACAGCAGCATCCTGGAGCTGATGGAGGGCTCCCGGTAGAGTGGTGGCTCCCAGGGAGGTGCTGATGGCCTGGCCCCTCTCCCTCAGCTGGGACAGCCCAAGGACATGATGGGACAGTCCCTGCTGGGACAGTCCCTACTGTCCCCTCCTTCCTGCTGGTCTGCCATGCTTGTGGTGATGGTGCTTCCCACACATCCCTTGGTCGTTGGGGTTTGTCCTCCTTGCTTGAGACCTCCTCAAAGACCAGTGGCACTGTGCAGACAGGGCACCACAGGGGTCAGCCAAGGTGTCAGGGTGGGCAGGAGCCACCAAGCCTCCTGGAAGGGCCCCAAGGTGATGGTGGTGATGCTGGGACCCTGCCACGACCCCACTGTGGCTGCCCAGGCTGCAGATTAGAGCACCCAGCCCAAGAGGAGATGGGAGGGAGCTGGGCCTGCAGAGTCTGGCTGTGAGAGCAGCCCCCAACTATGGCACAGAAAGGGAGGGAGGGGATGGATAAGACCAAGTGTTTCTCAGCAGCAGTGAGGGGGCCTGGTGCCAGGTCACAGCCCAGGGGGATTCAGGTTGGACCTAGACAGGTCCCCAGGGAATTGGAAAGTCTCCATCTGGAGGGGTTTCAGGACTCTGCTGGGACAAGTCAGACACTTACCTGCACTGTTTGGTGACCAGAGGTCCCCAGGGATGGCTGTCTGGCTGTCCCTGTGTCATCAGCACTAACACTCTGGGAATGCCTGCCCTCCCCTCCCATCCCTAGGAGCTGGTGACCCCAAATGCCCTGGGCTGGGGCAGGGTTGCAGGGCCACTGTTCCCCCCAGAAAGCTGCCGCCAGGCTGATGTTCCAAGGTAGTGCATGGCCCCAGCCACACATTCCTATCCTGCTGCTTGCTGCAAAACCGGGGCTGGCAAAAATCCCTCCAAAATAAATGCTCGAAGGGGATTTCAGGAGCCTGCACTGCAGCTCTGACACCTCCGGCTCTTCCTTGCATGTGAACATTTTCCAGGGGGCTGCCAGGCCAGCAGGAGTGTAGTGGGGTGACCCAGCTGGCAGTGGCTGGGGCACAGTGGGTGCTCTGGGGGTCCCAGCTGGGAGCATCCCAGTACCTCACCACTGCCAGGGGGGGAAGGCACCAGGAATGCTGACTGCCAAAAACAACACCAGCCAGCCTTGGGGATAGAGAGCTTTATTGTGTCCATGAGGGTTTGGAAATCCCAGGTGAGTGGGACCACTGGGGGCAGCTCTGCCCGGAGCTGCTGAGATGTGTAGGGCCAGGACAGAGGGATGAGCGGCATAAGGAGCGGGATGGGGAGAGGAGGAGGGTGGGGAGGTGGTCTCAGGGCTGCCCCACCGCAGGAGGGGTCCCCTTTCCCACCGCAGCCTTCTCCCGCCCTCCATGGGCACAGGCAGCTGGTTCATCGCTGCACCGGGACCCACGGTATCCATCCATCAATCCCTCCATCCATCCTTCCATCGATCCATCCATGCCTCCATCCCTCCCTCCCTCCATGCCTGCCTCTCTCAGGGCACTTCTCCCTCCAGCCCGCCCTCCCTGCCTCCCTCCCTGCCGCTCCCGGGGGCGGTGCGTTGTGGTGCGGGCGGTGCCGGCGGCGGGGGCGGGTCCGGCGGCCATGGAGGGCGGCGGGCGGCGGGTGGTGGCGGTGGGCGCGGGGCTGGCGGGGCTGGGGGCGGCGGGGCGGCTCCGCGGGCACGGCTCCCTGCGGCTGCTGGAGGCGGCGGCCCGGCCCGGGGGCCGCGTCTGCACCCGCCCCTTCGGTACGGCCGGGGGGGCCCGGGGAGACACCGGGAACACGGGATGGGCGGCACCGGGGGGCGGGCCCGGGCTGGGGCGGGGCGGGGGCACCGGGCTGGGGCGGCTGTACCGGGATGGGGAAGCCGCACCTGACCCCCGACCCCGCGGGGCCCCTCCGGAGTGGGATCAAACGGGAGCCCGTCACGGGTGGCACAGCGCAGGCTGGGGCAGAGGCGGGTCCGCTGTTTTAGGGGGGCAGGTGGGGTTGGGGGTCCTGCCACACGCATGGCTCGGGGTGACCGCCTGTCCCTCCCTCCCGGCAGCGTCGGGGCTGGCGGAGATGGGGGCACACTGGATCCACGGCCCCTCGCCGGGGAACCCCGTGTTCTGCCTGGCCTCCCAGTACGGCCTGCTGGGTCCGGAGGCTGCCCTGGAGGAGAACCAGCAGGCAGAGGCGGGGGGACACCCCCCGCTGCCCTCCGTCACCTACAGCAGCTCGGGGAGGGTGCTGAGCCCTAAGGCGGTGAGCGAAGCCCGCGACCTCTTCTACGCCCTCCTGGCCTCCACCCGCGCCTTCCAGGGGTCCAAGGAGCCGCCGGCGCCCAGCGTGGGCCAGTACCTGCGGGCAGAGATCGCCCGGAGGGTGCCCACGATGGCGGGGGGCGTGGAGGAGGCCCGGCGGCTCCAGCTGGCCGTGCTCGCCGCCTGCCTCAAGCTGGAGTGCTGCATCAGCGGGACCCACAGCATGGACCTGGTGGCTCTGGAGCCCTTCGGGGAGTACGTGTCGCTGCCCGGCCTGGATTGCACCTTCCCAGGGTAAGCGCGGGGCTCCGCAGGGGACGCGGAGCAGCCTTTCGGGGGCCACCCCGTCCCCAGCAGCGCCTCCTCCCGCAGCGGCTACAGCAGCTTGTCCGAGCGCCTCCTCTCGGCTCTGCCCGAGGGCACCGTCCTGCTCAACAAGCCAGTGAGGACCATCCGGTGGCGAGGGTCCTTCCGCGAGGAAGGGGACGATTCCAGGGATTTCCCTGTCCGGGTGGAGTGTGAAGATGGGGACGCCTTTCTCGCCGACCACGTCATCATCACTGTCCCGCTGGGTGAGGAAATGAGGGCACCCACCCTTCTCCTTGCCCTGCCTGTCCCCTCCGACCAGCCGGCAGGGTTGGAGATGGGCAGGTGGAGGGGAGGGATTGCCCAAACCCCTTCCCAGCCTCTCAGACGGGAATTCTAGTGGGAGAGGGGAGGCTGGGAAGGGACTTGGGGAGGGCAGAGTATCTCAGATGCCATTTAGGAACCTGGCTCAGAGCTGCCTGATCCAATCTCCTGCCCGATCTTGTGCCTGCAGGTTTCCTCAAGGAACGCTACCAGGAATTCTTCCAGCCTCCCCTTCCCGAGTGGAAAGTGGAGGCCATTCGCCGCCTGGGCTTTGGCACCAACAACAAGATTTTCCTGGAGTTCGAGCAGCCTTTCTGGGAACCTGAGCAGCAGCTCCTGGAAGTGGTGTGGGAGGACGAGTCGCCCCTGGAGGAGCCCAGCGCCGACCTGGAGGCCAACTGGTTCAAGAAGCTTATCGGATTCGTGGTCCTCCAGCCCCCGGAGCAGTACGTGAGGGGGATGTGGGGCATCTCCCAGGCCTGCTCTGGGTGGCTGGTGGCCCGTGAGGTGGGGCAGGGAGGGCACCACAGCCCCAGCAAGCAGCAGCTCTGAGCTCTGTGTCCCCTGCCCAGGCACGGGCACGTCCTCTGCGGCTTCATCGCGGGGAAGGAGTCGGAGCACATGGAGACGCTGAGCGACGCCGAGGTGCTCAGCGCCATGACCCGCCTCCTCCGCAGGCTCACAGGTGCCAGCCCTGCCCTCCCTGCCCGCCCCAACCCCCGGGGGATTCCCGGGATCCCACCCCGAATGCCCTCCCCGCAGGGAACCCCAGCCTGCCGGCCCCCAGGAGCATGCTCCGGTCCCGCTGGCACAGCGCTCCCTACACCCGCGGCTCCTACAGCTACGTGGCCGTCGGCAGCTCCGGGGATGACATCGACGTGCTGGCACAACCCCTGCCTGAGGACCCCCAGGACCCCCGGGTGAGGATGCAGGGGGTGCAGCGGGGCGGGGGGACAGGGCACCTCCAGCAGCGCAGGGAAGCGGCACCGCTCCCACCCTTTGGGGGGGTGAGGGTGGTGTTCACCTGCCGAGCTCCACGGCGGTGGGGGCAACCCCACTTCCCTAAAGTTTGGGGAAGGGAGAGCACCCGCTCGCCGGTGTCTCCGCGGCGATGCCCCCCAGGGGCTCGGGGGGGCGAGGCCAGGTTGTCACGGCTCGGCTCACCCTCCGCCCCGCCCGCAGCCCCTGCAGCTCCTCTTCGCCGGCGAGGCCACGCACCGCACCTTCTACTCCACCACCCACGGCGCGCTGCTCTCGGGCTGGCGGGAGGCCGAGCGGCTCAACCACCTCCTCCAGCCTCCCATCCCTCCTCCTCTTCCTCCTCAGCCCTGAGGGGGGCGGCCAAATAAACGCGCCCGCTGCTTCGCTGCTGCTTTTTGTGCCGCTCGGTCTCCTTTTTTTATTAAGAAGCCGCCAGCGCTCACGGAGGCTTTTCTTCCAATCCTAATCCTGGCGAAGGGGCTGCAGTGTTGGTTTTTAATACCAGTTGGTGCTGGAGATGGTGTAGCGCGGGTCGTCCAGCGGGTCCTGCGCCGGGCCGGGCTGCGGGGCGGGCTGAGGGGCGGAGGCGGCCGCACCGGGTTGAGGAGCAGAACCGGGGGCGCCGGGGGTGCCGGGGCCACCGGGAGATGCCGCCGAGCTTCCCGGGCCCCCCTGAGGCTGCGGTTCCGCCATGGCTGCGAGTCCCGCCCCTTCCGGTGTCGCGCCGGAAGTGACGCGCCGGAGGCCATGAGGGTGTGGGCAGGGCCGCTGAGGGCGGCCGGGGCGTTCCGGGAGCGCTTCGACTTCGGCGGCCGCGATGTGGCCTCTTGGTTCCCGCGGCACATGGCGAAAGGTGAGGTGGTGGGCTGAGCCCTCCTCAGACACACACGCACACACAGAGGGGCGAGCTCACCCCGGCGCTGTTTTGTTTTTGTTGCAGGGTTGCGGCAGATGCAGGCGGCGCTGCGCCGCGCTGACTGCCTGGTGGAGGTGCACGACGCTCGGATATCCTCCGCACCCGCTTTAAAAAAAAAAAAAAA